GCCTAGTAAAGTATACCCCTAAAAATGTGACCATTTTCCCAGTATAGCAGTACAAAAAGCCTTACTGTAATCAGTAATTAAAAATTCCTTCACATAAAGCAGCTTGTACTGGGCTAAAAGCTGCATGGTCTTAGCTCTTAAGCCAAAGGCATGGTCATGGCCCATGGGCTTTGTGATGTACTGTGTGCAAAAACTGGTGTACAATGAAGTCGATTTCCTGCAAAATATTCAACAACATGCATGTTATGGTTCTTATAATTATAACACTGTACTTGACTACTTTATTTTGATTATTATTAGAAAATGAAGATTAGTTTGTTCTTTCACCGAAAGTGACCGGTCAAAATGACCGGCAAGGTAAGAATTTGACCGGACAACTCCGCATTCTGGCCGGACATTGTCCGTTGACTGGCCGTTATTTCGCGCCCTGGTCCAGCTGGGGTAATCCCGTACCCAGGCTAGCTCACCCCACATAAACAGGTAAAACAGCCCCTATTAAACATGGGTGCACCTAAATTTTGAATTTAAAATTCAAAATTTGTATTCTCCTAGTATTTCCCTTGATATTTTGACAAAATATTTCCACTGCTTTTACAAACTAGAACAGAGAATGAAAAAACGTACCCGTAAAAGTTCGATCTTTGAACCCATGGCCATGTTTTCAACTTTTCAATTTTTGAAAGAATTGTGACTCGGGCTAACATGAAGTGCAAATATATGCAATAAAGAAAGCTGCTGCCCATAAAAACCGAATGGTGATTTTGATCTCGATTTATTCTAAAGATTTTGTAGATGGAATTTCAAGTGTAAATTCTATACAATATCAAAACCAAATCAGGAGCAGCTGAGAAAAGTGCAATTCTAGGCCCTCTGGTAGGAAACGAACATGCGATTCCGGTGCAGCACCAATCTCGTTACGAGATGGTGCAGCGCTCTATCAAATGTCGGTTTTCCACTAGGCGGAATTTTGCGCGCGGAGGGAACGCGGAGGGTTCATTAGTTCAATCAGTGAGATGCTCAAAAATCCTTGTGTGTGCGACTCTATGAATTGGTGTCACTGGAAACCGCTACAAAGTGAAACCTGCTCGAGTCGAAGAGCGCTTATAACACATGTCAGCTTAGTCTTAGAGCACGTTTATCCCAACCATGCACGACTTTCGATAAAGGCTGACTCAGTGACTCTGACCTTTTTTTTGCAAAATAATTTTGAAACAAACTTCTTTAAACTTAGGGAGTGTTGATTATTTATACCCGGGGTTGGTACCGAAGAGAAATGGGTTGGGTAAGCCATTTTTCTGGGGTATGAAGGGTTGGGTAAATATTTTTTGAACAAAGCCTATGGTTGGGTAAATTATTTCCAATACAAACCTTCAATTGAACAAAATATGAAAATCCTTTAACGAAATGGGTCATTCCAGGAAAGATACATTCATTCCCCACAAAGAAAACTAAACTCCAACTGGGATGGGGCATCCCCTCTGATTACAACGACGAGACATAGTAGGACTGCAGGAACTTGGAGGCTTGGGAACATAATATGAACTTGTGAAGGTACAAATGATTATACTTGACATTCAGTTAGTGCACCAAATATGCATAGTACTGTTTATACTATAGTGGCCTAGCTTGTAATAATAATATATATGTATGTATGTAAAATACTTGTATAATTTTGAAATTGGGTTGGGTAAAATAAAAATCCAAGTCATGCAATAGTTGGGTAGGGGAAAAAATGGTTGACCGAAAGGGTGAGTGGTTGTTTTTTTTTCTCTTTTCGATTAGTTTCTCTTCGATACCAACCCCGGGTATAAATAATGAACACTCCCTTAAACTTCATTTATTTAAAAATCAGGAAATTTACAAGAATTCGTAAACTTTACCAGTTTAACCGCCACGGTTGTATAGAGCGTTTGCACTCATTTGACCAACTCCACAAAAGCCATGGCGGCCATGTTGGTGTTCCAGACAAAAGTATAATTAAAATTATTTTGAATTGTGCAAACGCTCTATACAAAATAATCAATTAAACTTACCAATAGTTAGTGGAAAATTTAACCAATGAGAATCCAACTACGAAACAGGTAGTTAAAGTTTTATGAAGAGTAAGAGTTTTATACAACCGGGCCTAGTCGTACGAAGGCCAGATAGCGCTATGGCGTTTTTTGGATGGTGACTTTTCTGTTTTTCCAAGCTTTGAAAAAATACTTGAGAAACTGTGAATGTTATCAAAATCCATAAAGTTGTAATCCGGTGCAGCATCTGCCTTCGCACAACTTGCCACAGTATCACAGTTGTAAATCATTCTAAATTCTAATGCACAGTTGCAATCTAGGCCAAAAATGATGTGGATTATTAGCCTCATAGGAATAGTAGGGACTCCCCCCAAACAATGTTTGAAATCGTCATGCAAATTTGTGTGTATCATAATGGATGCGACATTGAGAGAGGGAGTAGGCGTTTAACAGATATACTTGATATATTTCCAAATATATATACAATTTGACATGCCCACAAGGTTTTTGCCTGGATTGCAGCTTTGCCTCCTTCCGTAAACTGAAGTAACAGACAACTCCCGAATTTGCTAGTTGGCAATGAAAACGACTTATTCATAATGGATTACATTGTCCGCCTCGACTTCAAGCTACTGTTTTGTGTCCATTCAAGCAAACTCGGGAAGTGTCTATAACTAGGCAGCATCCAAAGTTGTGAAATGGATAAAAAAACAAACGTCAGCTCAACTAACTTTGTCTGCATTTGTTAGGCAATTTTGCAAATCAAATTGAATACATGTGAATAATTCCAAATACCTTTTAGAGATATACAGTCAATGCCTAACGATCATTCAGCTCAGACAGGACAGTGCACTCTTTGGCTTTGAATGAACATACAGCGTTAACCCGAGAACCAAATGTTGCATCCGTTTCTATATACATACTGCACGTTGTGATATACATTAAACCGTACACTATAGTAAAAACCTATACAATTATACACATCTGATTACACCAATACATCAAATATGGGCATAAACATAACCATTTCAAATAAAACCTCATAAAATCTGTCCTTTAAAGACCAGGTATTATATATGCCAAGTTATCCAAAATTTGAGCCTATCAAGAAAACGAAAAAGTCGTCAGCGTTTGCAAAACTACACATGTCAAGTAAAATAAACAGGACTTCCTAGCCCTGTTTTAATATGGTATCCACAATCCGAACAAAAAGAAACATTGTGATATTGTGGATCCGTAACTTTCTTAACTATTTGCCTTGGATAAGCCCAAAATAGCAAACAAGCCTAAACATTCATTGAATATCCAACCTAAATATAGCAGTAATAGAGATTTCCCTTGATTTACATAAACTTTGACTTTGATTTTCTCGACTTACACGTATTTTTTGAAAATTACTTCGCCAATGAACTTACTAGGTAGATTTTGAAGCAATTTAAAACATTCGCAGTGCGTGTTTTCTCAGACCTAAAGATAGTCGCCTTGGCCTCGTATCTATATCTCTGATAAAACACTGCTGCTCGTGTTTTAAGTAGTACATCAAACCTTACATCGTTATAAAAGTTTAATTCATAATGATTTTGAAATAAAATCGATCTATGTATCGGTTTGGTGGGGGGGTAAACAAACTCTAGGGGAGTCCGGGGTATGTTCCCCAGCAATAATTTTGAAATATATACTCTCTGAAATGGCATTTCCTGCATTCTGAGGAAGATTTGACACGCTGAGACTTTGAATGGAATTTAACCTCCTACAACTGTTACAAGCCACATAACGGGATATTATGAATATTTAGTATATAAACCTTATCTTCGGAGGGGCTTAGCACCCTCCTTTTTCTACGTTTTCAAAAGCTCCCCTACCCCCACCTCAACTTGATGTCGGCTTATTACAACTTATACATTTTTACGTGTAACAGTAACACTACGTGCGGGAACAACAGCGTTTACCTGCGTTTCATGGGAACATCCAGCCATCACAGGTAGTTGTGACGTCAAACAGAATATTGGAACAATTGAACATAATGCTGTATCAAGTAAAACTGATAAACTGCCATGGACTTCCATCTGATCCTGGAAGAAATATAATTTATGAGATTTTTATTCGTACCTGACTGGTACGCCAATGATTATTGCCGCGTACTTGCGCTAGTACAAACTCGATACTCAATGTGTACTTAGTCATTAAAATAAAGTTCATAAAGTACAGGGTTCTGAAAAGTATATTCAGACTACGAGGTAGAAAAAGAAGCACAATTGCATATACAAACAATCGACTCCAACGTTTCCTAGCCCCATCATTCCAATCATGTTTCATGCCAAGACATCTCAGACACATGATATACCAACTAAATTACGATATTGAATACCTTGGGCTTGGAAAAGTCATGTGTAAGTACGCATATAGCAGTAGTTCCGCGTACCTATGTGGTAATATTGGTAAGTACGAGAATTATCGCACCCTGATTTATCTGTGGTTTCAGGTTTAGTTAAAATATTCAACAACATCATCAGGGTCATGGGATGTTGGTTGCACAGTGGTCATTAATACATGTGCCTTTCACTTCTATAACTGTAGTTGTCTGATTATGATTTTGACTCAGATGCACCTTGCATGTAAGAAGAGTGCTTCCAATTTGACTCAACCAATCAATGCAGGTTTTCTTCTAGGGCCGGTTGGTCAAAAGTCTGTGAGCTTAATCCAAGGTTAATAAAAAGGAATCTTCCCAACAACTTGTTTACAAACATGAAAATATTTTCCTAGAAAACTTGTCTTGATCAACAGAAGTTTTATTCTCTGAAGTTTTGAAATAGATAGACATGCAGAAATACACAAACAGCGGGTTAAATTTTAACCCAGGGTTAGCGCTAATCCACCTTTGAACAACCGCCCCCAGGTATTTGCTCGTATAATTTGTTTATGTACTGGACCAAATAATTGATTCTGGACCTCTTGAAAGAACAGTTTTAAAACTTACAGCTATCCAGCCTTAGCTTTAATAGAGCTATCCAGCCTGAATATAAAACTGACTTTCTTATCAGTTTAGTTTAGTACCCCTTCATTCCACTAGAAATAAGTGTAACAACATGCGCTGTAAACACATAAGTTACACAAGAGTAACACAAAAGGAGTTACGAACCTGTCTCTTGAGACACATGCCAATAGAGCAAAGAGACTCTCCCAGTAACTTCAGATAAGCAGCCATATCAATAGCTTCAGTTCCAGTGGATGAGGGAGGAACATCACTGAAGTGTGACCAGTTATAAGAATCATATCGACCTCTTCTACCTCGTAAGAAAGATCGGGTAGGATCTCGTCCATTTGGCATTCTCACTGCTCTTGCTTTTGCTTTCCAGTACTAATAGAAAGACAAGTAAACTTTAGTTGATTCAATTAATAACTGTGAAGTTCTTATGTAGTAATACAAATATAAAATATTGATCTTCACAGTTTACATACTTCTTGATCTGCATGAGGCAAGCTCTTCCACATTGCTGCCAAGCGACGACTGGTAGTTGCAAAGTCTAAATAATATTTAATTGGATTGAACACTAAACAATAAGCTGCGGCTGAGACCCGAGTGAATAATTTCAAACACAATGTGCAAGTTGTACAATGCCTATGACCTATGGCTAGGTTTAAATAAAAACAACTTACCTAAGTTGGGTTCTTTTTCCAGTAAACCTTTTCTTCTATTTTTAGTAAACAAAGAATATGCTGAAACTGTTCTAGCCTTCATAGTTTTGTCTTTTTTCTAAACGAAAACGACACATTCCTTACCAGATTTTATTTCAAGGAAACTTCCTTCAAGATGCAAATGCCTAAGAGTGTCTTTTTTACAATATTTTCCGTGAAAATCTATCCTAAAATACAAAATCCCATTTCCAGATCAACTGAGAAAAATACTCACATAAAGTGAATTCCATATATAACTGTTTACTTTAACTGATACGTTTGTTAAAATGTTAAGAAACTAGATTGACTGTATTGAGTTATTAGACTTTGCAAGTATGTGTCGTTGCCTGGCAGACATGTGGAAGAATTTGCGCCATGCAGATCAAGAAGTACACATTATGTAGACTGCAGTGGTTGTTCAAAAGCCGGTTAGCTTAATCCTACATATAGCTTAATCCTACATATAGCTCAATAGAAAACATCACAGCAATCTTTCCGACATCTTGTTTATAAACATGCAAATATTTTTGAAATAAAAGTTTTGAAATAAACAGACTTTCAGATGTACACAAACAAAAAACAGTGGGTCAAAATTTAACCCATTGTTAGTGATAATCCAGCTTTGAACAACAACCAGCCCTTGTAGTATATAACAAGGTTCGTTCACATGAGTGAAGTAATTTGTCTCATGAGAAAGGTCACACAGAACTTCATTTCCAGGTGACAAGTCATTGAGACCACCTCAAATTGATCAACAGACATTCTCTGATTGATCAATCTTAATTTTGTCCAATGGCCAGTTACAGGAAATCAAAACAATTTGATTTTATGCAACCTATGTCACACAATAAAAAGTAAATAATTTACACTGCTCTCAACAACAAGCTAAAAGAACAAGCTAAAAGTCCTCAAAAACAGACATAAAAAGAAAGACCAATCTACATTACCTTTCTAAAAGGCCTTGGCACCGACGGTTTCACAGTTAGCGGTTTATATTTCTTATTTGGTGGTTTTCTTTTTATGTCTTTCTTCTTTGTGTCGGATTTCTTTTTCACGTCTGGTTTCTTCTTCGTATCTGGTTTCTTCTTTATACCTGTTTTCTTCTTCATGTCTGGTTTCTTCTTTATTTCTGGCTTCTTCACCACTGTTTCTTTACTATCTTGGGAAGATCCTTCTGGTAATTCACTGGACTGCTCTGACATATCTTGCATCATAACCTCTGCAATTGTTGCTGATTTGGTAGGGCTTTTCTTTATAATTAACTTGACATGAGGATGAGTATCATCATCTGGTTCTTGCTTGATATTCAATTTCTTTTTCTTCACTGTCTTCTTAGCTGGAACTTTCTTTGTAGTTTTAATAGTTGCAGTTGATTTTTTCTTTTGCTTCTTTACAACAGGTTCACTGAAAATAGCATAAACAGCAGTAAAAAATGTATTTAACAGTGCGGTATGACGTATACGCCATTATGATGCATGCCATCATTCCATCTACTAGAGCTGTGCGGTTAACCGAAAAGTTTGGTTCTTCTGGTACACTTTTTTTAGCACCGAAAAATTATATGCTAAACAACCGGTAGTTTTGGTTTTAATTTCCCGTTTAATGCCCGCCAAACGCCCACCTGATTGCAGGTTGAAATGTTGGGAAAATAACAAGATTGTGCTCTTTGTGCACAATATGCACTGTATTAAGTGCTCAAATAGTTGATATTTTAGTTGTGATAGTTATTGCTGTGAACTTGCTTTAAAATTAAAAGAAATATTTCATTTTCATAAATAAACTCCAATTTACTTGCAAGTGATGAACCAGGCGGGAATCGTAATCGTATTATAAAGATTAATGCCCAGCATAACGTACGAAAGAGAGCCATATAGACAAAAATATAGAAATAAAAATCAATTTAACGTTAGTACTTCTAAATAAATTTTATTTCTATATTTTTTGTCTATATGGCTCTCTTTCGTACGTTATGCTGGGCATTAAACTCCAATAGTTCTTTTAAAATACACCGCGGTATTCAGAGATTTATACAAACTTACAAGGGCATAAATTCATCATCTATTTAGTAAAAATGCTCGAAACATACATAAATGAGTTCATACATTGGTACTGTTCTTCTTCTTCAATGATTCGTAAATACATAATTATTAGTGCTCCAAGACAGGGAAACAGATTTTAAAAAATGCTGAGATGTGCCGACCTAAGTCAGATTTAAGTCGGCATTTTTTTGCCAACCTCAATTTTGACGGTTTTCGAGGGCTGTAAGCACATGTTAAAATACTGAATACAAACGAATAGATTTCCGCCTGCTGTTGCAAAACCTGTGTCTTTTGTCTCAAGCAAAGTGAAGCTGGGAACATTTCCACTGAAAAACGCAGCAGACTAGCTCCGCATAGCTGACAATATCCTGTTTTTACACCATAATCTCCCAAAACTAAACTTTTGACTATTGACATGCAAGATTGAAGCTGTTTTTAATTGTACATAGTGTGTATTCACTGTATTGTAAACAATAAAACCGCATTTACAACTTCATTGTTGGTCATCTTGTGATTTTTCGCTTGCTTTTTAAAATAATCGGTGGGTACAGATTAATCGGCCGATTAGTTACGATAATCGGCGTATAAATAATCGGCCTCAGTAATCAGCAATTTTCCTTATCGGCTCATTCCTAAAAATAACCGAACTGAGGTTTTTCTGTCCCAAAAAACCCGAAACCAAGTTAAAATTTTTGGAACTGCACAGCTCTACCATCCACACCTACATGTACCTTCTGATGGAATTGGAACTCTTAATAACCATTGTCCCCTATTGGATGTCCTAGTACATTTTACTCAATTACATTTTACTCTTTTACCTCAATTTTACTATTGGCGGAAGTGCCTATGTACCTTGGCAAGTAAAATCGTCTGGAGTTAGACAGAGTAATTAAAGGATTAACCCATTGAGCTCCAGCATTTTGCAACGCATTTTGCAACTTAATGGGTGAAACTATATTAAAGGGGCCCTACAGTCATTTTTAGTCGAAAAGTCACCTTAAGTATTGTTTACATTTTTTTGTTATTGTTGCTACTTGACATGCGCACCACGGCATGCATGCGTCTTCCGGTATGCGGAAGTACTCATACTCATGGATAATGCATGTAAGATACAGCCAAACAAATCTCTGTGGAGTCCCCTACTTAAGGCGTAAAAAAAATACTTGTGGTTCCGGTTCCCGACCGACCCTATTTTTTTTCTGCCGACCCTATTATTGTTTCAACGCAATTGACCGCGCGACCCTATTTTCTCCAGGTGGTTGTGGGCTGCTCATACAGCGTGCCAATATGGCGTCTGTTGTCACACTAATTCTTGAACCAAATTGCCTAAATTTGTCCATAGGAAATATGCATCTCTAGTTAATATTGATGTCAGGACAATACTGCAAATCGCCCAGCAAAAAACCGCCAAAACCATGAAAAAAATATTCAAAAAAAAAATTTATTTCCGACCTACCGACCCTAATTTTTTCACGATATGAAACCGGAACCATAGGTATTTTTTTTTTACGCCTAAGGTGGCTTTTCGACTAAAAAATGACTGTAGGGCCCCTTTAAATTCAAGTGACGTAAAACATGTATAATGTATGTTCTGGTAATACTGCATTTATTACAAATGCATCCTACAACTAAATATATTCCATATTGTAAAACATATTACAGTAAACAGAGTAATGATCTCTTACCTTTCTTTTGTTTTCTTGTGTTTATGATGATGATGATGTTTATGGTGATGTTTCTCATCTTTTGTCTTGTCTTTATCTTTCCCATGTGATATGTGTAGTTTTAAAACAATGTGTTCATTTTCAGGATTCTTCTTCGCTTTCTTTGTTCCAGTTCCCTTCCCATTTTTCTTTGCTCCCTGATTAGCAGTACTTTCCCTCTTTCTCTTCACACCTTTCTTTTGGCTAGAGGTTTGTTCTTCTGGTATTTCTTCTTGTGTTGATACAAGATCCGATTGTTTTGCTAATAATAATGATTTCACAATATTCTCGATTCTCTCTCTTCCTTTCTTAACAACTGTTTTCTTTTCTGTTTCAGATTGACTGCTTTCTGTTGTGTCTACTTCTCTCTTTATGTTGATATCTTCAATTATTTTCTTAACTTTTCCTGGACAGGAATCAAGGGCATTTCCTTTTTGTTCTTTCTTTTTCTTTCCTTTCTTTCCATTAGATCTTTTGACAACCACAGAAGACTGGGCTGTAACCTGATCCTCACTAGGTATAATACTGTCTATTCGTTTTCCTTTCTTAACCTCAGATGAGGCAATATGCTCAGGTGACATCAATTTTTCTCTCTTTGCATCAGATTGCGCCTCATCTTCAAGTAGTGAGAACTGGCGTTTTGGAACTCTTACTCTACCAGATGTCCTTGTTGGTGTGCCATCCATTTCATCTGACATAACACTGGGTTCATCAACTTCACTCTTACCAAGTGGAGTTGATGTCGGTTGTGTGTTTGAGGTTGGTGTACTCCGACAGCGCACTGAGATTTTAACCTTTTCACTACCAGATGCATATTTTCTTGATTTATCTTTCTTTGTAGCTTGTTTTTGAATGTCTAAATGAACATCTGTTGGGTCTACACTATCAAGACCACTCCTGCTTGCTGACATGTTAATTTCTTCTTCCAGTAAACTAAATGTTTTCTTTGGTCTAGGTGTCCGAGACGAAAACCGAACTTTGGACGATGCATCTGTTTGCTCTGATAATGAATATTTCTCATTTGGAAGTGGCCATGATTGTGTAAAATTGTCCTCTGATTCAGTTTTTAAGTTTACTTGACTAACTCTTTTACCTGAAGACTTTCCAGACCTTTGCTGAGGTTCAGAGTCTTGTTCTTGTTCAGATATTTTTGAAAAGTCTCTGTTATATCCAAGTGTTTCAAGATAATTTTGAAATGATTTTCGTGTTTCGCGCCGCAAACGAGCACCAGGGTTAACAAAGGATGTCGTATCATCGACAGGTTCTGTATCAAAGACCGGGGCCTCAGACATATATACTGTTGGTGTTAATTCATCCTCGTCTAGAGGTTCTTGTTTGATTTTGATATCAAGCGGAATATCTTCTTCAAAATCATCAGTAAGCTTCTTAGGTTTGGGTTTCCTAGACGACCGTCGTACATTTAAACTTGATTCATCGTCCGGCTTTTCAACTTCCCGACTCAGTGTAGGAGTCGCCGGGTCGTCAAATTGCATCGCTTCGCTTGACCTGAAATTCTTCTTGCGTTTACTTCTAATTTGCACAGCCATCTCTTCTGGACTATAATCTTCAAAATTCAGTAGATTTGTATGTTAAAACGAAGCAATTGTGTGAATTATCCGTCCCAAAATCTTCACAATTCCTTCGAACAGGCCGCCATTTTGAACAAATATCAACGCGAGACAGAACGTTACCGTCATGCATCTGCGTGGAACAACAAATGAAGGGCATGTATTAAGAGGAATGCCGGAATGCCGGAACTATAGAAACACCGGAATACATTTTCACTTTGAAGGAAAATTTTAAAAAAATATTTCAAATCCATAAGGAACTTTTTATTTAAGATTAATTAAGGCGTTTCAACATGAATAAAAAATATCAATGTATATTTTATTCAATGCGGCAGCTTTTAATAGTACACCTTATTCACAAAGACATCAAGCGCAGAAAAACACTTAATCCGATATGTCCCACAGGACAATGTTTGGCAACGTTTCATAATGTAAATGGTGTTACATGAAATTCGATTGGGTCGGCAACGACTAGCAACGACTTGCATTACGAATTGTTGATAAAAATTGTCCACATTTCGCTGAGTGAGATCGAAGCAAAATGCCCTGGGTACGAGGTTGGACATATGTTGCACTGAAATCTCAAGGTTCGGCAGGATTAAAAAATAGGCACACCGAATTTTTCTGGGGTAAAATGTTCCCAGATTGGCGTGGTAATAAATTTCAAACTCGATGCTGTGTACGGAGGGTGAATGACTCATGAATGGATGAACATGAAGATTTCGAGGGTTCACGGCAAAAAACGTCGAGCCCGTTGTATTGGGTTGTAGTAAAGTTGTAGACAATAATCTCTGCGATCGCCTTTTGAACGATGTTTTTTACGTTTTGTTAGAGCATGCGCATAAGAGCTAATATGGCGTGCGAAGGAAAACAGTGTTTTACCACTAATTACTATTTTGTAA